ATTTGTTGTCTGGTTGGTGTTTGTGAGGCCAGTGATGTGAGGTTAGACTAAGTCTTGCTAAATTTTACCAAATTTGACTCAATTGTAGCTTGTTTGTGCTTATATAATCATTTCAATAACTCTATTTATTGTTGTAACTATATAAAATTAAAGTTTCTACGCAAGATTCAGGTTGGAGTATTTGTGAAACAAGGAGAAAAGTGATTCAAACAAGATGAATTCGGAAAGGATTTCAACCAAAGGGGATGGTACATTAATTTTATTAAGTTTTTGACTTTGTTAAGGATCTATCACAATATACTTTTCAAATTTTCTTTAAATTCCTTTGGTAAAGAAGAGGAAGAGGAATATGGATAATTCATCCGGATTTGCTGCTGGAGACACCAACTCAAAAGGACTGAACTTAATGAAACCCACCAAAAATCAGGTAGTTTTTGAATCCTAATCTATTATATTCTTTCATTCATGCATTCACATATCATGCGCTGCACTTATATATGTGTTTAATGCATTTTTCTTTTTATTAGTATTGTGTATTTGCTATTTTTAAGATCTGTATGTAGCTTCTACGAACAAGAAGAAGAACTTTTCTACCGAGAGTCAGATTGATTTGGATGTGGTTTCAATCAAAGGATGGTGTTTTCTTTTTATTAATTTTTTGACTTTATTAAGTACTTATTGAAGTATATTTTCTAAAACCTTTTAAATACCTTAGGTGGAGGAGGGCGTAGTGGACTATTTATTCGGATTTGCGGCTGGAGAGATACCAACTCAAGTGGAATGGAGTTGCACTAATTTGTATTATGATGCTTTTTATTTTGGATTGCATAATAACATTTTTTTTCCTTATATTGAAGTATCTGCAAACTAGGAGAAGTGATTGAAAGAGTTGGATTTGGATAGGATTTCGACCAAGACATGGTATATTTTTTTAATTGTTCTTTTTCCGTTGTTGTCTCTAGTGATATTTTTTGATTTATGCTCAAATGCATCCGGCTGTGCAGATTTTTTGGAGCAGTTATCCCGATTTGCGGTTAGAGATCACCCATTAACTACCAGGAAGTTTCTGAAATCTTATTGGTATTTTTTTATTCATTTAACCCACCCATTCACCTATCATGCATTGTCCAAATCTTTAATTAACATATATTTTTTTTGTAAGTTTCTGCACTTGAGTACAATGATCAGTTTTCAAGCAAACAAATTGAACTTGCAACATAACTCTAGTTTCAATCCAACTCAGGGTTGCTGCTGCGTATCTCATTGGTAAAATGTTGCATTTCTATTATTTTCCTGAGAGTACTCACTACAATCTTTTTGAGTTTCATTGATGAAGTTTTATATCTCTTTAGTTCAAATATTTGTTTGCTACATGGCATATATTTCCACCTATATGTCTTTGCCTTCCATATGTGGTCAATTTGGCGATTTTTGTTCGAACATGTAACATGCGAAGATTCTATTTTCCAAAGTTGATGTGGTTTGACTCATATAAGAAATGAAAGGTCTTTTCCTTTCCCAAATAAAATGATTCTGAATGTTGTTTTGTTGGACTTTTCTTTCCCTTGTAGATTATCAACTTATATACTTATCTGAATAGATATTTTCTAATTCTCTATTTTCCTTACAGTGTCAAGATTGAATGGAAGGAACAGCTCGCTTCCCTGAGATAAGTTTGAATTAGTTTTGAAACTACATTGAATACTGTAAGGAGGAATTAAATTCAGTATTAAATGTTTAATAAGGAAGTTTGTTAGAGTAGAGACACGTCTTAAATGCAGCATTAAAGATATACTTAAAATGCCGTTATGTTTAGCGTGTTATTAACGTTTTACCCTGATTTAAAGATCTTATCTTTTGTTGGAGTTTGAAAGATCAAACAATGGGCTGAAGAGGCTTTGCAGATATTTTATGGCTACTTTCCAGTGCAACGGAAGGTAAAATCTTGTTAGATTCATAACTATTGATCGACATAAGATAGATATTTTGTGCTTACTCTTAGTGAGGTAATTGCTTAGACAATTAGGCCCACTGAGTTGATCCACTTTTATTTATTTATTTATTTATTAATTATTATTATTATTATTATTATTATTATTATTATTATTATTATTATCATCATCAATTATTTATTTATTTGTAATGCTAAAATAGTTGCAGATGGTAACAATAAAAAAACATTTGATTTAATCATGCATAAAAATTACCATATGATTTTTTAAAACTCTTAACAAACTCTTTTAATGCCAATTTCCTCACATAAACATCTAACAATCTTATTTTGAAACAAATAAGAAATTCTTTTTTAAGCCAATTTCCTAGTTAAACCTCTAATAATAAATTTGATTTCAATTTAATTGTAATTTAGCTTATGTGATTGCAGAAATTTACAGGTCAGCATGAAATTTAGGTATTATATTGTTACTGTGTAATAATTTCAAATAGTTGTTAACCCAACATCTAAACAAAAATAAGAATGGGATATGATCCACTCTCTCTCATGTTTCTCTTTCTTGATATTGGAAGATCAGGTGAATCCAATGTTACTGGATAAGATAGAACGGGGATAAAGGAAGAATACTTGATGCAGCTTCTCACCAATACGAAGCTTCTGGGTTATGGTATCTATTTTCACGAGAGTTTCAAATTCTTCATATCATTCTTTCTATAAAATTTTAAAGTAATCTTCCTTTATCTTTTCAAAAATTATATCACTTATGTTTTAAAGTAATCTTCCTTTATCTTTTCAAAAATTATATCACTTATGTTTTAAAGTAATCTTCCCTTTATTTGTTGTGTAGTATTATTTTGATGTGTTGTTTGTGCTTGTGTTTATATATGGTATGACGTATTTGTGGTGTTTTTTTGTGCTGCTTGTATTTTGTTCTTTGTGTTTGTGTGGTGTGTGGTGTGTTGATATATTTATGTTATAGCGTGCTTCTTGTATCTTTTTGTGCTACATGTGTTGGTTTTTTGTATTGTTATGCTACTTTGTTTGTGCTTATGTGTTGTGTTTATGTATGATGTAATGTACTTGTGGTGTCTTTTTATGCTTGTGTTGTGTTTATTAATATATGGTGTGTTTGTAGTGTCTTTGCTTTTATTGATTGGCTGGTATTGTTATAATGGGTTACATGTTCCAAATTGTGTTGGTGGTGTGTGGTTGGGCTAAACATACTATGCTTATGGTGTTGTATTGTGTTGTTTGTGTTTATATATGGTATGACATGTTTGTGGTCACTTTTTGTGCTACTTATGTGGTGTTGTATTATTTGTTTGTGTTGTGTTTGTATATGGTATACCATGCTTCTTGTATCTTTTTTGTGCTACATGTGTTGGTTGTTTGTATTTTTATGCTACTTTGTTTTTTCTTATATGTGTTGTGTTTATGTATGGGTATGATGTGCTGCTTGTGGTAGCTTTATTATGCTTGTGTGTTGTGCTTATTAAATATATATATATATATATAAATATATGGCGTGTTGTGTCTTTTTGTATTGCTTTTGTTGTCTGTTTGTATTGTTATGTCGGGTTGTATGTGCCAAATTGTGTCGGTGTTTAGTAATGTTGAACCGAATTGTGTTAGTGGTGTGTAGTGGGTTAAACATACTATGCTTGTGCTTGTGTTTATATATGGTATGACATGTTTGTGGTGTCTTTTGGTGTTGCTTGTTCTGTGTTATTTGTACTTATATGTTGTGTTCGTATATGGTAGAGCATACTTATCACATCTTTTTTTCTATAACATATGCCGGTTTGTAATTTTATGCTACTTTGTTTGTACTTGTGTGTTGTGTTTATGTATGATGTGATGCGCTTGTGGTGTCTTTTAGTGTTGCTTTTGCTAGTTGTTGGTATGGTTACGTTGGATTGGTTGTGCTTATGTGTTGTGTTTATGTATGATATTGTAATATTTTGGTGTCTTTTGTGTTGCTCTCACCATGTTGTTTGTATTGTAAAATTACATTGTTTGTGCTTGTGGTATTGTTTTGCATTGCTTGTGCTTGAGTGTTTTGTTTATGTATGATATGATTTGTTATTCATTGTGGTATATATTAAATTCAATTAATGTTGTTTAATGTATGGGAGAATGTTGTTTCTAGTGTCCATTTGAGTTTAGATGGCCATTATATTCATATTTAATAAATATGTTTCGACTCAATCGTAGCTTATGTAGATGTTATGCTTTATTTATGTGTTGCTAGTGTTGATGTATATGATCTTACTAGCTTTATCTTCTTCATATCCAAGTTTCTTCATATCCAAGTGTGAGGTAATAGCATAAACTAAATTGTGGTATTTTATTTGCTATCTGGTTAGTGTTTATGGAACTAGACCAGTGATGTGAGGTTAGACTTAGTTTTGCTAAATATATAATATTTAATGTCTAAATAAAAACAATAGAAAAAATAAATTTATATATGTACATATATTATATAAAAATGTAGAATTTTGGATTGACTTAGGTGGTGTGGGGAGTGAAATTGTAATGGTTCCAATTACGCCTTAGAAATCATGGCTTTGTTTAAATAGAGGTTTTTGGAAATTCGGAAAAAATACGTTCCATTTACAATAAGGTGGACATGATAACAGTTTATTATTTTTCATATGGATAGTATTGTTGCTATTTTAAATATTTATAGAATTATATTTTAATAAAATATATGTAATATAAATAATATTAATTTTTTAAAAATAAAATTTTATATATTAGGAATAAATAAAAATATATATTTATTTATAATTAACTTAAAACTAATTTGATAAGAAATGAGAAAATTTTAAATATATATAAAAATATTTCTTTATTGAAAAAAGAGATGAAAATAAAATTAATTTGATAAAAAATGAGAAATTTTAAATATATATAAAAATATTTGTTTATTGAGAAAAAAAATAAAAAATAAAAAAGTTTTGAATGAATTATTTTGAATGGGTCCTACTTGCCTGGATGAATGAAATATATATGTTTTTTTTAAAAAAATAATAGTGAATGAAAATGCCTAAAAGTAAACAAAGTTCTTAAGTCCGAACAATATATATAAATATATATCATGCACGTGTGTAATAAAACCATAATCTTATACAACGCTAAACCTCAATTGCCAATATAAAAAAAAATGCATTCCTTTCAAATTCATTCCATCGCATCACCTTCTTCTGCGAATATTCCGATTCCCAAATCACAATCCAAAATCACCGGCGATTCATCGCCGCACTATTCTCCCCGGCGTCGCGAAGATCCATTCTCCGACGCTCTTCTATCACTCCGCCGATGCACGGCCACCGGAAGCCCAAAATCGGGCTCTTGTCAACACGCCCGTGTTCTCAAGTTGGGGATCGAAACCGATATCTATATCGGCAACTCTCTTCTCAACATGTACTCCAAATGCGGCCACTTAAAAGACGCCCACAACCTGTTCGACCAAATGCCTCACCGAACTGTTGTTTCCTGGACTTCCATGATGTCGGCTTATCTCCTCGCCGGCGACGCCGCGGCGGCGGCGGTGCTGTTCGGACGAATGCTGGACCTTGATGATGTCCGGCCTAACGAATACTCGTTGGCCGCGGCATTGCAGGCTTCTGCATCGATCGGAGACGCCGATTTGATCGGCGCATTCCATTGTTACGCAGTTAAGTTCGAGCTCGTTTCGGATGAGTTCTTGCAGAAGTGTTTGATTGATGCGTACGCTAAATCGGGCATGTTCGAAGCCGCGGAAAAGCTTCTGCAGAAGCTGTCGAGCAGAGATGTCGTTGCATGGACGTCGGTTATCTCAGGTTGTGTTCGTCGCGGCTACGGAGAAAGATCATTGGAGTTTTTTTGTCGAATGCAAGAAGACGGGATTTTTCCGAACGAAGTAACGATGTTAGCCGTCTTACAGGCGTGCTCGGAGATTCGTAGCCGTAAGATCATGTTGTTGATTCTCGGATTTGTTTTGAAAGGGGGCTTGTGTAAGTGCGATCTCGTGTTGAATTCGTTGATCGGGATGTATTCAAAGAGCGGCTACTTCGTCGAGGGGATGTTAGCGTTTTCGAGCTTTTGCTTCACGAATGACGGTCGTTACACGAGCCCGGAAACTATGGCGAATCTCGTGCACGGATGTGCGATTTTTGAGTCGGGAGAGATCGGGAAAGGGATACACGGATACGTAATCAAGCACGGGTTTCTCCCGTGCGTCGTCGTCGAGAATTCCCTAATAAATATGTATGTGAAGATCGGCGAGGAGTATTCGGCGATGGTTTTGTTCAGAACGATGTTGAAACGAGACGTGATTTCTTGGAACACGGTGATTAGTGGCTTCGTAAAGATCGGTCGGCCCGGTGATGCGTTGCGGCTTTTCGCCGAACTTTGTAGGAAAAATTGCAATGAAAAAATATCCCCCGACTTCGCCACGGTTCTTGCGTCTTTAGAAGCTTGTTCGGAGCTGGCGTTGTCGCCGCAAGGTCGAGTTATTCATGGCTACGTAGTAAGAACGGGGTTGCTCGGCGATGTTTTCATACAAAACGCGCTGATAGATATGTACGCGAAGTCGGGGAAGGTCGATTCCGCGGAGAGCATCTTTGCGGAAATGGGCAAGCGCGACATCGGATCGTGGAACTCGCTCGTCGCGGCATACGGTAGCAACGGGCGCGCGACGTGTGCGTTGAAAGCTCTCTTCCGTCTCGAGCGATCGGGGGGCGTCGAACCTGACGGAGTTACGTTCGTGAACGTTCTCACGGCGTGCGCCCATGCAGGTGTGGTGCGGGAGGGTCTCGCCGTGTTCGGGTCAATGGAGGGACGGTACGGCGTGAAGCCGAGCGTCGAACATTACGGGTGCATCGTGAATCTTTTGGGCCGGGCCGGGCGAGTCGAGGAGGCGGAGAGGTTTATACGCACGATGGCAGTGAATCCCGGGCCTGACGTGTGGGGGGCTTTGCTTGGTGCGTGTGTCGTGGCCGGTGATGTTGGCATTGCCGAGAGGGCAGCGAAGGAGCTCGCAATTTTGGAACCGGACGGGAGCGCGTGGAGAGTGGCGATGGCGAATGTGTATGCCAGAGTCGGGAGATGGGCGGCGGCGGCAGAGATGCGAGCGGCGGTGGCGGCGGAGAAGAAGGAGGGAGGGTGGAGTAGTGTGGAGGTTGGAGGTAAGGAAATGAGGTTTGTGGCTGGGGACACTAAGTGTACGGAAAGGGTAGATGCTTATGAGATCCTAAGTTTTTTGAAGAACCATATGAAAGATGGATCTTCAATTTACTATGATCATTTTAGTATATGTTGCTAAAAAGAATTTACATTAATTAGAAAAATGAATTAGAGAATTGAAACTAGTGTGTTTGTTTAGAGTATTCTTAAATATTTTTAATAATCATCATTTTTTTAAAAAAATATTAAATCAAACACCTATTTTTTATTTTTTATAAATATTATACTAAAAAGTAATTTTACATTTAAAACATATCTCACATTATTCAATTTGTTTTAATTCAAAAATTTTGCTATTCAAATCTCAACTCAAAATCCAAACACTCGAACAAAGTGTAGAACAAAGCAATTATAATGTGAGTGATTATTTTGATGGATTATATAATTATTGATAAGTAGAATCAATTATCTGTAATTGGAATATTAGTAAAGTGAACTCAATTAATATTGGATTTTAATCTATTATAGTAAGTATAAAATTAGATTAGATAAAATAATATTACCCGCCCTAATAATACGAGTGTCATACATATATTATTACCCCTTCAAAAAACCTAGTTACCCCCAACACAAATGCAAAAGATGTCGATCTACTTAGTAAAAAAAAAGTAAGTGAAATATTGAGATCGATGTGAAAGAAATAAGGAAAATACCATAGAGAAGATAATAATCACAAAGAATGTAATGACAGAGACTTGCAATGGTAATTACAACACTATTCATCAAATTTGTTTACTCAAAACTATTTTGGTTTTAGTTTGCGATTCCTTATAAGAATATATATTACTCCCTCCGTCCACAAACTAATGTCCTACTTTCCTATTTGGGACGTCTAACAACTATTGTCATATTTCCTTTTTTATACATAAATTTTAGATTTTTATCCTAAAAATCCGTGCAAATATACTTTAGGACAATAGAAATTGAACGGAAAAAATATTAATTTATATCACGTCAAAATACTATTTCAATTGAAAAAAAGACACTATGTATTAACAGATATGCAACGTCGTAGCTACGACTCGCATAGATCATAGGCGCACAAATTATACAACAACAAACAAACAATTGTATCGAGGAAAGAGGGATTAGTCGACAGAACTAAACAAATACTTGCAGATTCACGGAAAAGGCGAAGAATAAAGAGCCAAGAAAGATGGATTTATAAATTCTCAATTTTACAAACTGGAGACAACTGAAAACATGAACAGCAACAAGAATCCTTTCAATATGCATTGTTTAATTCATCAATGCCGAATCTGAATGATTATATTAATCGAATAACCTAAAAACACCATCAAAGTTTAGCAAATCTGAATTCAATGGAAAGATTCAAAGTTATATTAATCGAGCAACCTAAACACCATCAAAGTTTAGCAAATCAAAATTCAATGGAAGATCCACATTTATATTAATCGAACAAAATAAACACCATCACAGTTTAACAAATTCAAAGTCAATGGATTCAAAATTATAACAACCCAAATTCAATGGACAGATTAAAAGTTATATTAATAGAACAACCCAAACACCATCAAAGTTTAACAATTCCAAATTCAATGGAAGATCCAAAATTTTGTTACTCGAACAACATAAACACCATCACTGTTAACAAATTCAAAGTCAATGGATTCAAAATTATACGAACCCAAATTCAATGGACAGATTCAAAATTATATTACTTGAGCACCCTAAACACCATCAAAATACAAGAAATCCAAATTCAATGGGCAGATTCAAAGTTATATTGATCGAACAACCTAAACACCATCAAAGTTCAACCATGGCATAAAATCTGAACAACAAACCACTCAATTAAATTACAACCACTCCCGATTATTGAACCCTAAACAAAAACCAACACCAATCAAAATCAAGCATACACACACGAAAATTTGAAACCCTAATAATACAGTCAATGAAATCCAAATAATTGGGGAAAACATCAAATCACAATCAATAGATGAACAATGAGCTCTAAACCCTAAGATATAAAAATCATCCGAATTAAAAATGAACTCAATCAACATTGAAGGGGGGAAACTGAGAACCCTAATACGACAAGTAAAACGAATTGGGGAAAAAAGTAAATCACAATCAATCCATAACAATAGACTTATAAACGCTAAATTATAAAAATCATGCAATCACTTACGTTACTTCGAATTAAAAATCAAACAAATTGGGAAATTTAGGAACCCTAATACCAAAATCAATCCATAGAGGCGAAGAACACCAAATAATTTGGCAACCATAATAAGACAATGAAATCAAACTAAGCGAATTGGAAAAACAGCCCATCAAAATCAAACAAACACACACCGAACCAGGCAAATTTAGGAACCGTAATACTACAGCAATCAAATCACACAATTTGCGGAAAACATCAAATCATGGAGCCCTAAACCGTAAACATAAAAACCAATCACTCATTTACTGACCATCTGAATTAAAAATCAAACCAATGAACATCGAAACTAGAAACCCTAAATTATAAAAATGAAGCATTCACATTACTCCCCGAATTAAAAATCAAACGAAGGGGGAAAAATTGGGAATCAAAATCAAAGGAATTGGGGAAAACAGAGAATCAAAATCAAAGGAATTGGGGAAAACAGAGAATCAAAATCAAAGGAATTAGGGAAAAACAGAGAATCAAAATCAAAGGAATTGGGGAAAAACAGAGAATCAAAACCAATCGATGAACAATTGAACTGTACAACCTAAACTACTAAAACAAAACACTCCCATTACTGCAAATTAAAACCAATCGACGAGCAATCGAACTGTAAACCCTAAATTATAAAAAATCAAGCACTCACATTACTCCGAATTAAAAGTCAAACAAAGGGGAAAAATTGGGAAACCCTAATACCAAAAGGATCGGAAGGGACCGAGAAAACCAAAAAAATTTGGACCATTTCTCGATTTATGCGTGTCATCCTTGCGCAGGGGCCATGCTAATCTTCTCTGTATCGTTCCAATTTTATCGGATGTCCCCGAGGGGACGACCTGTACTCTCCATGGCTCTTTGGTAAAGAAGCAGAAAGCTTTCTCTAATAGCAGTGTGGGATAGTTCGAGATGTAATTGGGCCCAATATATATGTAAATCCAGTTTGATTAATTTAACGCTACTTTTCAAATTACAAATTTACACCTTTGCTGTATATTTTGTTTCCCTTTCTTTCATTTTTGAAAATATTATGCCATATTTGCTTTTTGCTATTTAGGTCTAATAGATGTTTTTGGAGTATTAGAGAATTAGATCATTTTAAAAATATTAAAATGTAATATTATTTAATCTGATTTTCTTTTTTAAAAAACCATTAATATTAATATTAATGAAAAGTATCAAAAAATTTTAAAAAAATATGCTCGATCATTTTACATTATGGTTTCATTTATTAATTAATCTGAGTGTACTAATAATCATAATTTTTAAACAACAACAATAATAATAATAAATCATGACAATATATAGTGTGAATCCATTTTAATAAAGATACTAGCGTTTCTTTGAATTTAGTTTGAAAAAATTTGCTTTAAATTTGATATTAAAATAATAGTTTGATAAAATATTTTGTAAAAAATAAAAATATATATATTTTTTTCAATATCTCAAAATCTTGTGAATGATTTTGGTAATTGTTTGATATATGATGTCTGAAAAATTTTTTGACACATTTAAATCTCATATTATTCTATTGATTAAAAGTATCACTAGGAAATGCATATATTTTGTATTTATTTATATTATTTTTGAATTGTGCACGTGAATTTTAAATAGTAAAATTTGAAAAATACTATGATATAAAGAAACACACATGACACTTACCTTGAGAGTTGGCTTGGATAGAAATTTTTGTATACTCCTTTGGGGTTTGGATTCAAATATCAAAATATTAATTTTTTTAAACAAAATAGAATTCAATTCCATGGAAATTGATTTTGATATAATATTCTAAATTAAAAAATGTTTTACAAGGTGGGATAAAAAACAATCACCCAACCCTTGTTTATGACGGAGTTGAGGAAGGCTAACCCGACGGGCTCATCATTCTGACATCCGGCCACAAATGCCGGCATACATATCCGGAATGTGTTAAAAATTTGAGGAAGCTAACAAGAATGAAGTAATTCGATTGATTGATTGCCTCTCAAGTCACACTGAGCTAGCTCAACACTAATTATTTACCGGCGAATAGAATTGGCAAAAACTGACACGACACGACAATCCGACGCGAAATAATTGAATTTTGATCAAAGATTTCAACCTGACTATGTATACTGATTGACACGAACCCGACACGATAATAAACCCATCAAGTTATGATTTAGACTCTAAATTCAAATCCGACACGACAACTCGATTATAATATAATTCTAATTTGACAATTAATCAGCGGATTAATTTAAATTAAATTCAATTTTAAATATTTCAACTTAATTCATTGTACACGTTACACTAAAATCAATACAGAGTAACATAACATGAACAAACAATAAATGACTTTGAATTAAAAATTTCTACTTAATTATGTATACGGATCAAGACGAACCCGACATGATAATAAAGTGGTCGAGTTAGGGTTGGGTGATTTAACCCGTTTAAAGTATTCAATCCGATAAACCCGACACGAATCGATTAATTGTCAGCTCTACAGACGATCATCAGTCGAGGGCAAGGGAGCAGTCGAAGGACCCCCAACATACAAAACCGGCAAATTCGACAAAACTATATTGATCAAAATAAATAAGCCGAAACAAACATGCAACTCCACAACTATTCGTCTAATGTTTCGAGCGCATAGCTTCACAACAAATTTAACACCGTTGTTTTGCCTATCAATAGTAATGAACAAGTCGAGTCGAATATGCAGTTCCATAACTATTCGATTTATGTTTCGACTGCATAAACATCACAAGAAATTCGACGCCACCATATCGCCAGAGATAAACAAGTCTAAACATATATGCAAATCCAAAACCACTCGATTAATGTTTCGATTGAATTACATCACAACAAATTTGACTAATGTTTCGACATAATAAGGGCATAGTTTCTTGTTCTTGATCACAGGCACACAAGATTAAACCATAACAACATATCTAGTAAAAATGCCTTCAATGTGCATTCCACATAACTAAAATTTTGCAGATTTCATCATAACAGATAAGATGAAAGATCAAAGAGCAAAAGATTTAGGTATTCCCAAAATTATAAACTCGAGACAGATAATCCTTTCAAGATATCATCGTTAACAATTTTGAATTCCATGGCAGATTGAAAAAGAATTAACCCTAACCCTAACACAATCAATCAAAATCAAAGGAATTGGGGGAAAACAGAAAATCGAAACCAATCGATGAACAATTGAATTGTAAACCCTAAAATATTAAATTCAAGCACTTACATTACTGCAAATTAAAACCAATCGACGAACAATGGAACTGTAAACCCTAAATTATAAAAATCAAACACTTACATTACTCCGAATTAACAATCAAACAAAGGGGGGAAAATAGGGAAACCCTAATACCAAAATCAATCGAAAGGGACGAAGAACACACAAAAAAAACCCTAATATCAAAATCGAAGGAATTGGGGGAAAAACAGAACATCAAAACGATACAAAAAAAAAATTTGGACCATTTCTCGATTTATGCGTGTCATCCTTGCGCAGGGGCCATGCTAATCTTCTCTGTATCGTTCCAATTTTATCAGATGTCCCCGAAGGGACGAACTCTAATCACCATGGCTCTTTGGTAAAGAAGCAGACAGCTTTCTGTAATAGCAGTGTGGGACAGTACGAGAAATTATTGGGCCTTTATGGGGCTCAGGAATTTAATGTGGCCCAATATAATAATGTTTATGTAGTCCAGTCTAATATTTTTTATAGAAAAAATAAACTCCGTTCAACGAAAAAATAAAATAAGAAATAAAAAGAGACACAGTATTATAACAAAAATTTTACATGAATATATATACTAAAACTACATAACTAGTACTAAAATACATCTCTCAATCTCCAAAAATAAAATTAAAAAAAAGCCATAATAATAGTAAAAATAATACTGATACTAAAGGACAAACATTCGGGACTCCAGCACCTGCCGGTCCGAAGGCGTGAATCACTTGCACCTCAAGTCCCGGACCACATAAGTCGACAAATGAACCCGGACTCTGCAGTCCAGCTCCGCCGTCTTCTTCTTCTTGATCATATTCATAACTTCCACTTTACCCTCCAACTTCCCCTCGACCCGTACGCTCGCCATGCCCGGACCAGAATCCGAATCCGACTCCGGATCCGAAACCAGATCCACCACAACCGATATCTTCTTCGTCGACCGGGGCCCGATCCGCGACTCGGGGATCACGAGCTGGGCGGCGGCGGCGCCGTCGTCGCCGCCGCCGGACGGCCTGACGGAGACGGAGGCGTCGTCGAACCGGAAGCTCCCGAAGTTAGCGTTCCGGACACGGACCTGGGCGGTGAGGCGGACGCCCTCGCCGGGGGTGAAAACGACGTCGGCGAGGTCGGCCGTGGGGGCGGCGACGCGGGTGATGAAGACGAGGAGGACGACGATTAGGGTTTGGACGGCGGCGAAGGTGGCGGCGATGGCGAGGCACCGGATTCGGCTGCGGCGGCGGCGGCGGCGCTCCTCCTGTTCCTCGAGATGTTGGATGGGCGGCGCGGAGACTTCGTCGCTGCGGGGGACGACGGTCGCCGGCGCGAGAGGGTAGCCGGCGGCGACCTCGTGGTGGAGGAATTTGGGGGATTCAATCATGGTGTGAGATTTTTTTGAAAAAAGATAATTGGTGTAAGAATTTGGACAGGGAGAAATGAAGTGGTGGAGGATTTAATTTAAGGAATTTGGGGGATTGAGGTTTTTTCAAGGTGCGTTAATGGCGGTGGTGGACTTGGTGGAGGGGTGGGGTTTGGGGGGTGGCGGGAGCTGTGGGGTTTGGGGAGGGTTTTGGGGGTGGGAGTTGGGGTCCTGGGAGCTTGTGGGTTGAAGGATGGAGCATGACGGTCCTTCTTGTTTGTTAGGGGAGTCTGCGTACGTAGCATGGGAATTGAATTTTTATTTTTTAAATTCCGTCGACATAGATGTATTTGTATTTGTTGGTGTTTAGAATTTAAGATATTTTTTTAATGCTAATTAAAGGAGGAATGATGATCCTATCAATATCAACAATTTTTATTTAATTTATTATTATTATTATAAATATAATGAAAATCTTAAATTCTAGTATTTTTCTAAATTGAAACCTAACCTCACACTATGTATGAATTTATGTCCCTTAAAATTCTATATTCATTTAGGAGTTGGTTGGTTTGTAGTTTTGGTGGAATTCCTTTGAATTTTAAAATCATAATGAATTTATATTTAATTATAAAATTGATATGAAATTTTAAGTATATAAAATTTTAAAATCCTGCAAATAAAAATAAAATTTTTAAAGTAACAGAGTGTCTGTTACTAAAAAAACTATTTATTTTTTGAATTTTAAAATCTCATTTACTATACATTCCATTATTTATTTTTAACCAAACACATGGAATCCATTTTGAACGAATCCATAGAATTCATGAACCAAACACCCCTTAAATTGGTAACAAATCCCCGCCATCAATCCATAAAACATCTCCACCGGAAATAAAACTACCCGACGTCGACGACGGCACCGCAACGAAGAAAATTCCCGGCCGCTCGAAGGGCAGGCTACCCGTCTTACAATGGTACAAAGTAACAACGGTACAACACGAACAACGTCGCGCAGGAAATATTACAAACACTGACGCTTTACACAGAACACGAACCAAAGGCTGTACAAAAAGATCTACCAAATTGTACACGGCGCCAAACACGCGACGACAATAAATTTAAAACATGAAACAAACATCAAACGAATGGGGAGGGGCGCCTCTCGGGTTTATACAATATAGATTAGACGAGATGATCGTCGATTCACAGCTATTATAGCTTCCTGAACTTCTGCAAACTGCCATGGCCGGGTGGCCTTTCCGCGAACCTAGGTGGTTTCATCGAAATAGATTTTTTAACGAGGTTGGGAGGATAAGCATCCGTACCTGACTTATTCGAGTCCCTGAAGAGCTTCCCGGGCGGCGATTTGATGGGCCAGTGTAGTGTTGTTCCCTTTCTCGATGGTTCGGTATAACGATCGGGTATGTCCGAGGAGGGTCTGGGTTTCTTTGAAGGAAAGCCGTCTTCCGGAGCTTTTATTGGAATGGTGGATCGGATTGTCGGTTTTGGGGGATTAAAGAATGGTTTAGGTCGCTCGATTACTTTTGATTTGGCTTTCATGGCCATCCACGCCGGTCTTTTCAGGGACTTTGTGGTCGAACAGGGGTTTAGACCGTTCGAGTGTGAGGATAAGTCGAGGAGTGTTCGAGCGGCAGAGCACACCTGAGAGTAGTCGTCTGATGTAGACGACGACAAAAAGTTTAAGACGAGGAGTTAATAAGAAACATTAAAAAATAGGAGCTGGATATGCCAAAATGTTTTTATGATTAGATAAAATTGTCGACAAACTCCCTAGAGCAGGCAAAGGGTCATATTTGCTCAATCACATAGCTCTGTTTACTAGTCGGATTTACTATTCTTTCCAAAAATATCAAATCAAACACTCATTTTTTATTTATTTTATTACACTATAATTAAATTTTACATTCAAAACATCACATCAATATATATTTATATCACATCAAACAACTATTTTAATTCAAAATTTTATTATTCAAAACCAAAACTAAAAACCATAATCTTACAAGTAAACACACATACTGTATAAACCTAACCACTCATAACAACTAACAACTATCTATTACTCTGGACGAGCAATTCGTAGCATAAATAATTAGGTTTTGTCACATTGTATAGTTTCTATTAATGGGATTTTACAATTAAAAGTATTCGTTACATGCAAAAGGGGACACATTATCAACTATGCAAAGTCATTCGTTGTTAATTCCCACAAGTACAAAACTACAAAATTGGTTGTTCTTATTATGGAAAATAACTCTATTTCCAATCTTGTAAACGAGGCAGGTTGGGTTAAATATTTTAAAGTTTCGAGAACCTCTAATGAAATAAGGCTGGCATATATATGAATGAGTTAAAAACAATAATTCCTAACTACAAAGTCATATAAGTACGCATAGAGGTAAAAGAAAAATGACGCAAAGTTAATGGGATATGACAGAAAAGGTAAAAAATAAATAATTGCTTCCAAACTAGACCATGTTACCTGTAAAAGCCTTTGAGGTCGAGCACACACTGGAGGTGGATAAAGCCCGTTCAATTCGAGTAATTTCACACTCCCGGCGATCAGATGTAGGCGTAAATGAAGGAACTAAAGTCTGGTTAAAACTCAGGGATTCAAAGCCCTCCAGTAAATTAACAACATCCTTGTGCAGAGCAGGGGAATTATTAACCTTCAACCATCCACCTTGGCAAATTGCTCGGTTTAAGGATAACTTCATAGCTTCAGAACCCAACTTGCTATTTGCAGAAAAAGAAGTAGACCAAGAAAACGGCGGCAGGCCAGTTCGGTTTGATATTGGTTTAACTGAACGAGCATCAGTGCTATTTTTTGGTGTACTTGTTTTAATGGTTTCTGAGAGTAATAAATCCAAATCCTTTGGGGAAGGAAGCACAATATGATCCAGCATATCTTTAGGTTGGTACAGTGAGGTTTCGGCCAAGTTGAACTTTTTGATATTGCTATCGGATTCTTGAACCTTCAAAACAATTTCAATTCATTAATTCAAAAACCAAAATAAATTAGACAAATATTTTCCCCTGCTTGATTCTTGAAACATTTGGATTAATGCGACATAATGAAAATTTGACCACATTTACCAGCAGTTAGTGTGGTTCCCCATCCACACATCTAAAGGTTGTTTACAAAGACAGCATAACATATTAATCACAATTGCGATGAATAAGATTTACTTGTCTTTGGAGATTCTTGTTATAATTTTTATTTTTTGCTATCCCTTTCCCCATAGAAGTGATAACATACTTTTCCTCTTATGTTTACACAAATACTCAAAATTCACATACCACTCAACTTTCCCATACTCAATTTCAAATCTTGGAAGCTACATAGGTTTACAACATATGAATTCATACACATCACTATTGGTAACATCTAATCATTAATTAATATTAAATTTAAAATTTATGAATCAGCAAGATAAAAATACAAAAACTATTCATTACTATTTATATTGAAAACACACACAAGACAATAATCAAATAAACCTATAACGTTTCTCCTTTTTCCATTTATAAGAATGAAATGTAAGACCAAAGCTTCCACTAATTGCCTCCAACTTTGAACACATATATATGTGTATATAGCACAAACACAATAAATAAATAAATAATAAATAAGTAACAAATTAAAATAAAGACATACCGGGTCAGAAGAAGGTGGATCAGCAACACAATTCTCTACTTTGTCACACTCAGGTTGGATTTCTTCAGAATTATCTAAAACCATGCTGGAAGAAAAATTTTGGATACTACTGCTATCAGTCTCTGAGCCAAGTTGAACTGTATAGACCTTCCGAGGTTGAATGATAGACCATGCCTTCCTAACTGACTGCAAAAGATTATTGTTTGAATCGGAAGATGTTTTTCCTCTGTCTTTGCCAGAACTGAGACAGGTGTAATTTCCGTGAAGTAGCACATCTAAAGGCTGCTCACTGGCATATTTGGTGATGTCAACAACATCAGGCTTTAAACCATACATTCCTGAAAGAGTCTCAACAGTCACAAAAATGTTTTCACGATAAAAAAGGAAAAGGAAAAGCATAAAAGGGCTGTTTGAAACAACCATCCTTATTCCTTCAGTATTTCAATTACGTAAGGAATGCAAAAGAATACGTAAGTTATAGAGTACAGTATTCATATAAATCACAAGTGGGCAGAAGGGAATCATTACATACCAAAAAAGTTACTTCCTCCAGCAGCTGAATTGAAAGCAACCAAGCCATTCTTCAGTGACAATGTGTCAGATTTGGTCTTCTGTTTAACTTTACCAATTCGTTTATCCCCACGCCTACTGGTTGAACTTTTTTGCTTAGCCATTTGATGTTTTTCTAAAACAAAATATAGAGAAGCCATATTAGAACTGTATAATGATTAATGAGAAATATTGTGGAAACCAAAAAACATAGCAGCAAGGCCAAATCAACTAATGTCAATAATTATCAGTGTAAGCTTTTCAAAACACAAAGTAAACTCGTCTGTAGCACATTTTTCCCCTCAGAAATAGATAAGCAACTTTATCCATCTGCTCTGAGCACAATTGAGTCGCTGTGCAGTTTGTCATTAGCAACACAAGGCTGTGGACCTTGAAGAAAAAAGATATGACCAAAAACCAAGCATCTAGTCTATGTTCTGAGATTCATGGTACTTCACATGTGCAATTGATTACCATGTTACTCTCATTTGTGTAAACAAAATCCAGGCCAACTATCAGCCAAGCAGCTTAAAAACTGACTATTAAACTGGAGTTTTATAAAAGCAACAATATTTGCTAGAGCAGCTTCACAAGATCAATACTTAAATGACATTTGTATCTTCCACAAAATAGGTAAATATCCACCCTAGTACATTGTTTGTTTGGGGGTTTGGATTTTGAGTTGGGATTTGAATAGTAAAAATTTTGAATTTGAATAATTGTATGATGTGATATAAATAAGTGTTGATGTGATGTTTTGAATGTAAAATTATTGAATTTTAGTATAATATAAAAAATGAAAAATAGGTAGTTGATTTGATGTTTTTGGGGGGGAAAATGGGATGAATAGTGTATTTAAAGTCCAATCCCCCAAACAAACAGAATTCTAGTTTGAAATTAAATGATGTTAGTTAATCAGTCTTAATCTCATATTTAAATTAAGTTTCTCCAATAGAATGGACTAAAAAACAGTTATGCTGGATCTAAATTGATATTTGAAATCTTCAGGGTTAAAAATGACTTATGACCAATCCCTATAAGAATCTAGAAAAGGTCAGACACTGAAAAAGTTCAAATATCAATTCCTTAAAAACCATAATATTTAAAAGATCACACCTAGTGGGAAAATGGAAAAACCAAAAATCATAGATGTATCTCAATTATACCAAGTACAATGGAATCACATTCCTCTAAGGTAGGTATCAAGAACGAACACTGATTGTTAACTGAATGGAAATTTATCGTGACAAAGAACCTTGAAAAATTAAAAGAGCTAATGACAATTTTCAATCAACAAAATTATCTTTTTGCAGTATAGCATTGTACCTGAAATGTTAGAGATTACTGGTGGTGAAGCTAGCTCAGGAGAAACTACAGTCTCATCCTGCCCAGTTTTACTTCTACAACCTTCCATCTGTATTACACCTGATTTCTTATTGTACCCACTATTATACTTTATTACTTTACAAGATTTCTGCAGTAGAGGTTTGGTATCTTTATCTGAAGAATGAGGATTCATGGTCTGAAGGCCATGATCATTGGATGCATCATTACTGTGCATGCTGTCAGAGGGTCGACATACTTCCACACGTAATTCAGGATTGGAAATCTTGTGCCAAGCAGGAGGTTCTGAGGCATTAGCAGCATGAACATCGTCTAAATGTGAAACAATTAAAATTTTTCACACATGTTAGTATTGTGGGACATAGAGAAACTGAAACAACATCGAATAATTAGATGCCTTTGTCACATGGATCAAGATGGACAAAAAGGAAAAAATAAATAAATAAATCTCCATAATTTGTTGTAGTTAAGGATTCAAAGAAGAGCGATAAATGCATATTGACAATTTATTATCGATGGAATAATCATAATTAGAAGCTAATATAACTTTCTGAATATGGGCAACAAAATCTAGAGATTTATTAGATTGAGATTGTATCACAAGATCATAGTGTAAAAGGTTCTCTACAACACTAAATTTCAATAGCTCCACAATAAATAGGCCAAACATAAAAGGCACATCGCCAGACGAGAGACTCATAGATTCAAAATAAAGCAGTAGTAGACTGTAAGCTTAAATAAGTCCCCTACTAAGCTACCATGTAATAATTAACTTCATGCAGGAAAAGAATAAACAAAACAGTCACTGCTCATCTACTTGACAACCGCATGCATTTACTACCATCTTAGCATATTTAAGCCCCCGACTATCCTTACACAGTCACACCAACAGTTCGAATTGTTCAGAATCTGTGTAGAACCACAGCCAACTGGAAAACAACAAACCTAAATATTCCAAGGAACTCATTTTTGGTTTCCCAAAAGGTTAAGATAATGATGATGCCAAAAATGTAATCAACTGCCACTTTACATTCAAAAGCATTCAGAGTAATCTCGCTTCTAATAACCACTAAATCACATATTTATAGATCCACTGAGAAGACGCAATTGTAAATTAACAAATTCATTAACAAAAGCAACCAGGCGAAAAAGGCCACTGACAGCGTTTCAAGCATCTGCAGAGATCATGAATCGAAAAATGAAATTCAAAATTCTGTCTATAAAAAATCAACAACAAGCAACAGAACGCTCTCACAACCAGAGATCTCACACAACCCTAAACAACCGGTAATACGTAAAACAATGAGTAAATACTTCAACACAGAAAATAATAATGTCAAACAACCTTTTTTACCCCCCAGGCTGCACAAATCCTCCTTATGAAGCCGTAATTCCCGCACCACAACATCACTGCCGCCGCCGCCGCCGCCGCCGCCCAAACCCTCCGCTGACCCCGTGAGCCTCGCCTCCGCAACCGCCGCAGGTAGAGCTACCTTCACCGCCGATTCCATTCGCCCTCAAAAACTCCGCTTCACCATAAACCCAAACAAATTTGACAATACAACCATCTCAACGAAAAAAAATCATGAACCTCGAAATACACCGACAAGTCTGTCAAAAACGAGCAGAATTCACACGATTCACCGCCAGATGGAGAGCAGAAGAAGCGAAAGATCCAGATTTGGGGAGAGATTTGCTGGGCGAAATGGAGAACTGAGGCCTGGGCAGCATGTTGCGGCTAGGAACACAGATTCTAGGGCACGAAACAAGAAATGGGGGCGAAAAGAAGAAGGTATTTATAGTTTTCGGGAAAAGGAGAAATCCGGATGGTGGGCATCGGAGCATTGGCGATGTCACGCGCCGGTCACGTGACTCGGAAGATTCTTTACTCTTGTAGCGCTGTTTTTAAAACGCGACTTTAAGTTCAAATCTTCTGCCCCTACAACCACGACTTTACCTCTTTTAATAATCGGAAATTTTTTTAATTTAGGGTGTGTTTGTTTGAGGGTTTGGATTTTGAGTTGGAATTTGAATAGTAAAAATTTTGAATTTGAATAATTGTATGATGTGATATAAATAGGTGTTAATGTGATATTTTGAATGTTAAATTAATTTTTAGTATAATATAAAAATGAAAAACAGGTGTTTGATTTAATATTTTTTAGGGAAAAAAATTGGATAAATAGTATAAATCCAATCCAATTCCCCAAACAAACACACTTTATTATTCAATATTTCAATATAATGATTAGTTCATTTTCTTTTAATTTTTTTTAACGATTAATTTTGTTTGTTCACATTTTTTTTCAATATAGATATATTTTTTATAGTAAATATTCAAAATAAAATATTATTTTTTTTATAATTTACATAAAAAATTAAAATCAAAACACTAAATAAACAAATTTTTATAATTTACATAAAAAATTAAAATAAAAACACTAAATAAACAAATTGTGTACTAATATACATATATTTCTTCGTTTGAATTTATCTTTTACTAATTTTGACAAAATAAATTTTTAATTATTACCAATATTCAATAGTTATTTATAATAAATATCAATATCATTTTATTTTTATTTTCTTTATTTTTTACTTAAATATTCAAAATTGTGCTCTTATCTTTTATGTAAAATATTTATATTTTTTTAATCTTCTTATTTATTTGGACTTAAATGTTCTAATTTCAAAAATATTTTTATGTTACCAATGTGTAATTTCTAATATATATAACATAAAAAAGACATTTATAAAAAAATAAATTCAATCCCGAAATTCAAATATTGCTTCTGATCAAGAGAATACTAAAAATATAATATATATATATATATTAACACAAAATATTCTATCCATCCAAATCGATATCAATTTTGCAATTTCCATATGTCAAAATAAAAAATATTTATTATATTATTTTTAGTAATATCCCTACTTTTGATATTCCTTTTAATCCCACTAATATTAAGGATAAAATTTGAGTGCAACTTTTTTTTTTGTGTGTGTTTTTCTATAATGTATATTTTTTTTTTAAAAAAAACAATATATTATGTATATTTATTATTTTTATATCACATAAAGAATTTTTTATATTTTACATATAAATTTTTTTTTTAAAATTGTTTTACAAAACAAATAAGTTTTACACTCTTTTATTGTGTTTGTTTGGGGGTTTGGATTTTGAATTGGGATTTGAATAGTAAAAATTTTGAATTTGAATAGTTGTATGATGTGATATAAATAGGTGTTGATAGAATGTTTTGAATGTAAAATTGATTTTTCGTATAATATAAAAAATAAAAAATAAGTGTTTGATTTGATATTTTTGGAGGTAAAAAATTGAATGAATAGTATAAATCCAATCCAATTCTCCAAACAAACACCCCCGTAACACTATAAAATATTAATATACTTAAATACACATGAAAAATCCAATATATCTTAAATATTATTTTAAGTTTATTAACAATATCATTCCCATAAAATAAAATAAGATAATATCTCAATTTATTATATTAATTAATTAAATATTTTTATTTTAAATATGGTATCACAAATCAAAAAGATAATTAAAAAAATAAATAATAATAAAATATTAATCTAACAAACCCTAATGAGAGGAGGGAGGGAATAAAAACATTGGCTCAAGAAGAAGAAAAGAAACCACGAGAAATTACAGCTTCATTTTCCGCCATCGGTAAAAAGAATTACAGCTTCATTTTCACCCATCGGTAAAAATGGTGGGTGATTTTTGGTGTGCTTTTTGAGAATATGCACTTGCCCAGCTCCATCCTCTGTCATAGCATATTCATCCGCAACCCTTTCCCTCTCTACACTCTCTCTCTCTCTCTCTCTCTCTCTCTCTCTATATATATATATATGGTGGCGTATTGGTATTGTGAATCCTGCCGACTGCGTGAACGGGCTTTCTAGATTGTTCGCGATTCGCATTGTTTGATTTCTAGATGATTCAATGCTCGAGAGCTGGCCTTCGTTCAATCCGCACAACTTCAGCCAGTTCAAGCCCAATGATCCTTCCAATCCATCGGTATATATGGCGTGCGCTACTGTTTTTTTATTTGATTGACGATTCTGATGAATTTTTGGGGGATTTCTGTGGATTCATTTAACATTTTTTAAAAGTAGTTTCTGTATTGGTGATTGCTCTGTGTTGTGTTGGAATTATTTGATAAGGATGCAAACTAGACGGTTTCTGAATTGTGGTTTATGGATTTGGTGTTTGGATTTTGCGATTGCAGCATAGATAGCATCTGTGGTGGTGAGATTTGAGAAGTTCAATGCCATGGGGTAGTGGATTCTTCAAATAGATCACTAATATACTATGCTGTTCTAGTTTTTAATTCTTTTGGAGTTTACAAAGAGGATTTAGTGATTGAAAGTTAGGGTTTTGATGAAATCTAGATTAGTGAATTGTGTTTTGTTGATGTTGCTCTCTTCCTGGAATTTGATTGTAGCATTAGGTGTATGTGTTTCGAACTTTACATGTATATAATCGAAAAAGATCATTGTTTCCATGGATTTCAGTTTGTGCTATTTGGTTGCTTGTTTGAAGTAATCATACATGATGTATGCTATTGAGATCCATTCTAGATGACCAACTGGTTCTTGTTGTGTCAATAGTCATTTATCGTATATTGTTGAGAATCATATTTTGACAAATGTGGTAGCCAATGCTAGTTTCATCTACATCATCGGTTTCAAATTTTTTGCATTTGATCCCATTGTCCACATGTTGGATATTTCTTGACATATGGCTTAATAATTAGAGAATAAAATCCTTTCAAACATTGGAAGGGGCAAATTTATGAGTTCCCAACCCCTTTTTTCTTCATTTAGATCTTTTTCTGGTTATTGAAGTTGTGGCTGTGTGTGGTACATGTGGAAAAAGGTTTAATGCTAATACTCATCTTTGGGGATTAAATGGAGAATCTAGCTACCTCGGTTTTCTTGTTTCATTTGGTTACAATTGAACTTTGTGTTTGTTTGAATAATATTAGCATTCTCGTTAATCCTGGACATCAAAGACTAACAAACAATACATCTGTAAAACATCCTGTTTATAATCAATTCAGTGAATGTATAGATGTTCTTAGCATATTTGGTTGGCTATGTGAATGTACTTAAAAAAAAAAAAAAAAAAAAGGTTATATCCTTTGTTTTTTTCTTTTTAAAATCTGTTTGTGGCTAAAGTTTGTGCTGAGGCATGCAATTCAAAGCCACTTCAGTCCGATTTCTAATAATTTGGCAGAGCTGAAACCATGCCGCTCTCAAGAGCAATCACTATACAGGTTGCTGGCCATAAATTCCAAGGTTCTGAATTTTCATTTAATAACTGATTTCACTGAATCTCTTTTAAAAGTAAATGGGATATTGTAGGCGAAGCATAGCTGTTTTACAAGAAGAAAGAGGATCTCAGTTAAACAGTCATAGAAAATGAAACGGGAAGAATCTTATCTGTAGAGATGAAATGATTACATCTTAGAACTTGAATTTTATACCAGCGTTTGAAAACATTTGATCATTTACATTTTGTTGTTTTGCTTTTTATTATACGCCTATTATCTGCTTATGCCTTTGTAGATTATTTGACTAATCTGCAGCAGTGTTGCATCTTATGCTTCATTCGGAAGTTAGAACTCAATGTGTGATTGTGTTCAAATTATTTCTCCAACAGCAGAAGCAATGACACGCTGATTGTTTATAAAAAAACTTTTACTAATTTATTACTAGAGCTGTTTTGATTCTTTCATGCTTGCTTCTATGTCTTGTTGTCTATCTATTTGTCTTTTGATTTTGATTAGAACTATTTCCCTAAATCTGAAACTATGTGCTGCTTGTGATTTCCAGAAGATGACACCGGTTACGTATTGTCCAACGCACGAACGGACCATCCCACCTCCTGATCAGGGTAAAATCTTTGTACTTATATTGGATAATTGTAATGCTTCTTTGTTCCCTGCTATGTGATAAAGTAACATGCTCGGTTCTATGTGAAAAAACACATTTTAATTTTAATGCCATTAAAACTTCGATTCAAGAAAAGTTTTAATGCCAAAACAAATGGAATTGACTCATACCATGTTAGGTAATATGAAGTTCCGCAGTGTATTCCGTCAATTAGTGCGAGTGTAAAATGGTCGCATTTTAGTCTCAAACTGAAATATCTGTAATTGATGGGATCAGAAATGGTAGAATCGATATTAATGTTATGGGTGTGTTTGTTTGTGTTGCTTTGGATAGTTTAGGGTGTTCTTATTTTAAAATTTTTGGATGAAAAATAGATTTTAAAGACAAAAGGTTTCTTCATTGTCGATGGTTTAGTGGGAAAATAAAATTGAAAACCCAATATTTTTTGGAGGACAAAACTTGTTCTTTCTGCTTATCTACCACCCATTGCCATATCGAATAAGCTTTCTCGATTATTAGAAGTGATCTTAGGCGTGGGTATATTTGTTTTTAGCCAACAACACAGGTAGACATTTAAAAAACTTATTCGGTAGAAGACATTGCTGCTATCAAGTCCTTGCAGGGTCATAATTAGGAAAATCACTATGCAATCTATTTCTCATTGAAGTTTACCTGTAAAGTGTAGCAAATTTTTACATTTCACCTAATTTACGTATTTGTTCAAACTTCGCCACCCCAAAAAGCTCACCATTAGATTTTATCTTCTTGCAATCCTATCTTTTCTTGTCTAAAAATATTGTCATTATTTTATATATTTAGTTTTAGATTTGTTAGGACTATATTTAAATTTGGTCATATCCATTATATTATGTTATTTAGATTTGAGTACATCGAGTCTGTTTTAGGATGCCTATGTAGCCTCTTGTTTTGGTGATCAATAATGTAAATTTTCAGTTCTCATAAAATATTCTAACAATGAAATCTATTTAAATTTTTGCCTGTGTTCGTCACTTATACTCTATTCATTTCACGATTCCCAGTCATCGGTCCTGAAGGCAGAAATATCCTATTGAGACACTTCTACCAAAATGCCGAAGATAAGGTTTGTACTTACCACAAGTTCGATTTCTCTCTCTCCTCCGATCACTATTGACACATTTCCAATTGCAGCTAAGACCGAAGCGAGCTTCCTGTGATGAGCTGCCCCCGGAGCGCCCGGCCAAGACTTCCAGAGCTTCGAATCCTGACAAGTGAGAACACTTTTACATCCATCTCCTTGCACATGCTATTATTGCATATATTATAGATATATATATATATATATATATGTTAGTGTATGCATTCTGACTTAGAACTCCATGGCTAAGTTCCCTTAAAAGAGTTATGTATAATATGAGCGGAGTTAAGTTGTTGGTTAAGAATTTGATGTGTCTTTTTCATGTTAGCATCTTAAGTAGCCCGGCCGGTTCAGCCCGGCCCTCGATAAATAGATACGGGCTCAGGCTTGTTTTAAGCCGGGCTAAAATATTTATAAGCTAGCTTGGGCATTATGTCGATGCGGGCTAAATTACTTAATATGAATATATAGAAGAAAAATAAATAAAATAAACGCCTTCAGTCCATTAAATATATGCCTTTTTTTAAAAAAAAAAAAAAAATTATGGATGATCATAGTAAATGATTTTATCTGTATATAATTTTATTGTCTTTACATTAATAAATAATAATCAGTTTATTATTATTTTTTTCTACTTATACTATATTTTTATCAATTTTTAATAATTTTATTTTTATATTAGAATTTTATTATTATTATTATCATAGTAAATGAAGAGAGTAATAATATAAATAAAAGTTGGATCTAGCTAAGACGGTTCCGATTTTAATGAATCAACCCATTTGGGTTCATATTAAGACCTAAGATCGACCCTAAGTCCAAATTTATTATACCATGTTTCTTTTAAAAAATAATAATAATAATAATAACTTGAGAATCTATAACTATTAATTTTCGAGTACAAATTTTTAGTTGAACTTAATAATTTGCAAGCTAGGCAAGCAATTGGACAATTTGATTACCATTTGCAAATATGATAAGAGTTTAATGTGCTTTTCGGATTTTGGAATTTGGAAATAATTTGAAATAGTATTTGATGCAATACAAAATAGTATTTTTTTTATAGGTAAGACGCAAATAGTTCATTCCAATCTATCCCCTTATTCTCATTCTTGTCGTTGTCGGGCTTCTTCTCCGGATTATTCGTCTCCTTTAGAGGCTCGACTAGTTCTATTTGCGTGTACCAACATTTTCGTAGTTTCACGACTATGTCCACAACGTCCACTTTTCCAAACACCATCACCTTTTTCACCCCTGTGTCCATCGCAATCAAGACATTATAGAATGTGTTCTTTCGGCGAAAGTTTTTTGGTTTTTACTATTTGAATTTTTTTAATTTTCTGAAGAAATTGAAAAATGTGAAACTATGACATTCATATATTTAATGCACACACGCGCACACATATTTTGAGGCAGTAGTTATGGTGTTGAATCGTGTTGACATCATATGTTCGTAAAAAATTAACACAATGTTACTATATGAACATAGATAATGCATGTGTTTTTTTTTTTTTTGTACTTATCATATGTTATATGAAATAAAAGTACGAGCTATTTGCATATTTTATCTGTGCCAATCGAGAAAATTAACATGACGTTGAGGCTAAATATAATGTAATTTTGGGAGTTCAAATATTAAAATTCTGAAATTCATTCACATTTTGAGCGTTTGTAGGTAAGATTAAACAACCATAAGTAAATTTGACAAAATTTTAGAAGTACGAGGGATTTAACACAATTTCGCTAAACCACCGGTGAAATTTGTACACTTTAGTCTAAAAAATTAAAAATAAGTGTTTAATTTAATTTTTTGGGAGAAAAAATTATATAAATAGTAAAAATTCTTCAAAATATGTGAAACAAACACACTTAGTTCTGCACGATAAAAATATAAACATTAATAATATTATATTAATAATTAATGTAAAAATAAAAGATCAAAATGTCCTATTTTATGTAATTATTACGAAAAAGTTAAAATAGTTTTGTAAAAAAATCGAGAGTTAGTTAAAAAATAAAAATAAAACTATTATTTTGAGACGAACGAAAGTAGCAAAATTGAATTATTATTTTGGAACGAAGGGAGTAATATTTTTTCCCTATAAATCACATTAAACAATCTTCACCTAAAGAACAACAAAATTTATTTCACTATAACATTACAATTTCTATAATATATTTATAATTTTCAATAACTAATACTGCTTTTGTTTCGAAATTTAATAAGTTAATAACAATATACTATAATATTATTTTATTATTTTTTATGTAAATAATATTATTGGCATTTTTAAAATAAAAATTAATATATATAAAATTAATCTTTGAAAAAATATATTCAAATATTATATCAAAATAGAGTATACAATATGAATACCAATAATATAAATAAATAAAAATACTTATTTATTTATGATTAATATAACTAATTTTATAAAAAATAAAGAGTTTTAAATATAGAAAATAAATTATTTATCGAAAAGAGAGAAATATATATACATTTTTAAGAATTCTATGAGCAAGTGATTAAAATTTTAATTAAATTAATTTATATTTAATAAGTATATTTAAAATGTATAAACTGTCACGAAACAACCTAAAATAAAAATGTATCAACTATTATCGAACAAAGGTAATAATAAAAATTCCAAAATATTTTAAAAAATCGAAAATACCCCGTATACTTAAAAGTACACATCTCACATGTTATAACAATGAAAATAACTCGGTATCTATAAGATGGAATTCAGGAGGGAATTTTAAATTTAAAGAGTTTAGGAATTTTTTGTTTCCTTATTTATTACTACATTATTAAAAAGAGTTTAAATTTTTTCTTATTTTGATGCAAAGCTACAAGAGAGAGACATACCACTGGGCGCGAAAATGTCGAAGCTCGACTTACGATTCGAGCGAAGCTCTTGCGATATCCAGCGCTTCCTCGACTGTGGATGCTTTCTGCAACTTCGTTTTATCGATGGAAGGCTGATCTCTGGCAAGTTTAGGGAGCAGTTGAAACTCCTGCAGCCATGGTAGTATTAAACAAAATAACTCGAAGATATCGTGGAAATGCTTGTTAAGAATTGAGTATATTATTGTCGTCAAAATTGCTATGTTCCTTCGGAATTTGGTTTCATTTTTTTCTTTAATACGCAACTATTTTGATTTTCTATAAAACTACGTACTCCCTCCCTTCCGTAACTAAGTATCAATTTAATTTTTAGGTGTTGATCTTTGAATATTAAGTATTATATCAAAACGTATTACGAATAAAGGAAAAATGACAAAAATACTTGTATTAATGTCTTATAATACTAATATAATGTTAAGTACAATGAAGCAAATAGTAAATGAATACCTTGTTATGGGACGGGGGGAGTATTTTATTTATATATCAGATATCGAAAGAGTCGTATAATTTTATTGCTACCTCAACACGAATAATCGATCTGGCTATCTATCATGTAATAGATCCTCTCTCCGTTCGTCAAATTTATTCTCACTTTCTTTTTTCAGTCCGTCCATTAAACTTATCTCATTATTAATTTTGACAAAATCAACAAATCAATATTTAATTATTATCTTCCATTCAACATTTATTTACAACAAATACCTTATATTCTCTTTCTTTATTTACTTTAATTTTTAACTAAAATTTCAAAAATAATAAAATATTTATTCTTTTAATATTCGTGCCAGACTCAGATGAGCTAATTTTAATGGAAAAGGGAGTACTAATTTTGGTAGTTTAAAAGATATAAATATGCATAGCCAAAATTCAGTTTGTACCTCTGGACTCCCGCTTTCGAGAAGAACTCCTTTCAGTTTTCCTGCAGGTGTAAAAAGAGCCTTCAGTTTCTCGATTGCTACTCCATTTTTGGCATCCAAGGGCACACATTATTCATCAACAATAATTTATTTTTATGAAAAAACATCACATCTGATCAAATAATAATAATAATAATTTTTTTTTTTTTTTCACAAAACATCACATTAGATACTCGACTGTTTTATGTAATCCGAGCCTATGTGTTAGAGATGTATATATATATATATCACGTCTAATATCTATTTTTCATTAAAAAGGTTTCAAATCCACATGTCAGAAACGGGATTACCTGAGTCAATCCAGAAAGTCGCGACTTTTGGATCAAATTTCCCAATTTCGACAGTCTCACCAACTGTTTCATGTAGATAGAAAAAGTAAGCATCCATAGAGTGTAAAACACACAATAGAATTTTTTTCTAAGAAAAGGATATGATATTACCGTTGTCCCCGAAGAATTGCCACCATACTTTCCTCGGGGTTCCTTCGTATTCAAATACTCGAGAATAAAAATAAGGGAGATAATCGTACCTGTATCAAGGAAAATCCGACATGCTAATTCGAGCATAAATTTTAGAGCGAGGAATCAACGAGACTCGACTGCTACTTACGTGGCGGAGTTTGCAGTTAGTAGGGATTTAACACAATGCTGAGCAGACTGACGAGCGTGGTCGACATGCTCAACCCGAGTGATTCGATCATATATCTGTTAACATTTGAAGATTGTGTTTCTTATTTGAATTGAATAAAATAGGCAATGTTGGTTTAGTTTTCTTGAAAATATACCTTCAAGGGGAAAGCTGCGGCATCCCCGACTGCAAATATTCCAGGTATCTTTGTTCTGAACTGCCCATCGACCTGAAATTTTTAGTGTTTCGAAATGTTTAAAACATAAGCTTAGGGATGATAGTGTTGCTTACAGAAGTTCGGTATATGGAGTTATATGCTCACCTCTATTCCTCCTACGGTGTGATTTAAACCGACACTTTCAAACAGATTAACAGCAGGTTTTGCTCCGATTCCTACGACAACCTGAATGAAAATTGACCCGACTGAATAAATATATTTTCAGCTGCGTATCGATCCAGAAAAAAATAATTAGGATTTTAATCTGCAATACTTTTGAGTTACCGTGTCAGCTTCGATGACAGAGCCATTCTCAAGTTTGACGGCAGCTACACGTCCGTCTGATCCAGCTTCGATGTTCTTCATAGATGTGCCCTGGAAAATAAAACCAAATCATGCTTGTTTCTTATTTTGTTAGTAAAATTAGAGAGGATGCAAAATCGGAGCACCGACCTTTACGAATTTGACACCGTAATTTCGGTATAGTTCTTCATATTTTTGAGCCAGAGAAGGAGTGAAGAGTCTTTTCATAACATGTTCTTCAGGAAAAATGACCTACACCATCCAAAATATAAAAAGGGTTACTATTTTCCAATCTGTAAGCATAATCCACTTAATAAAAGCCTGTCATAAGACCTTAATTTGTGAGTTTGAAGTTTTGGGTTTGGATTTTTGAATAGTAAAAAGGTGAATTCGAATAGTTATTTAATTTGATATAAATAGAAGTTGATGCGATATTTTAAATATAAAATAGATTTTTAGTATAATATACAAAAAAAAAAAAAATTGATTTGATTTGATATATTGAGAAGAAAAAAAAAAATCTGAATAGTAAAAACCTTTTGCAAAAACCACATAAGAACACAACCTAAGAGACTCGTGAGTCTATATACAATCGATAGTGACTGTTGAAAGATCTTTAGAGAACAATGGAATTATTTTGTCATGTTAGCGAAATAAATTAATTTCATTGATATTAAATCGGATTTGAGATCAGTAATGACTAAGGAGATCCAACAGTTACTCACAGTTGTGTCAAGTTTCCAACCGACGGCTGCAGCAGCAACTTCCATACCAATGTAACCACCACCCACCACAACGACTTTCTTTGCTTTTTCCTGAGAGATGTATGCACGCATCATCAAACACCAAAACTCAATCAGCAACAGAAGAAATCAAAAGAAAATATACTGGTTGATTATATAGTCTATATTAATAGTATTAGATATAGATAGATGTAACCATAAAGGTTCAAGGGATTTACTCTCCTAGTGGTTCTACATCTACCCCTTTACTTATGTAAGGATTATTCGGCTGATTACACAGTATCCAAACAAAGGTTTTCATAAAAGAGATCTACTTTAAATAATTAGCTTCTACTAAGCAAATCTTATGTAATCTAAAAGGCCTTTTGGATAAGGATTGTTGTACTGTAGGCATGGTCAAGTCTAGAGTAGAACAGTTGTTTGGATGGTAGGAAATCTACTTTAGGATATCGTGTTTTCACGGGAGAAAATCTTTTCTCATAGATAAGGGAACAAAATGTAGCTTTCTCAATTGGTTGCTGAGGCAGACTAAAGGACCATAGCTTACGTAAAATGCGAGATGGTATGAATACAGCAGTTTCTGAAAGAAGTTAGATGAGTTAGATCTTCCAACAAAACCTTAGTACGAAAATAAAGTTGCTCTATGTAGTGTTCAATCTTAATGTACAAAAGAGATAGGACATGATCAATATATGCACCCCATCTTGAGGGTCAGTCTTGACTATGTAGCTACTGTGCTAGATATACAAACGTACATATATACAGATATCAATATAATTGTATAAACTTTTGGGATTTAGTTCGCTAATGGTTCTCTAGCTCCTTATATAAATATTTAACTTCATAGTAAAGAGATTATAATGTTTCTGATAACAATACCATAAGTATGCTTCTGTTAAACTTGATGGGAGGAAAAATGTAAAATTTGTTGCAAGAGTAAGCAAACTATAAATTACCCAAGATGATATCAGTGCATCAGCATCTGCAACATCTCGAATATAATGAACACCAGGCAAATTTCCTCCAATCTTATCCGGCAATCTGAAGCCAAACGAGACATGATACTTTATTTCAATATTGAGAGGTATTTCTTCAGAATTCAGAAGCAAAAAACCATTGACTTGTCTATAATAATTATATAATAAAAATAGAGTATGAATTAAATATTCTTGTGGCAAATAGAAATAGACTAGGGGTAAAATTTCATATTATTTATAAGGAATTGATCTTGTCACCTCAATTTAATAGCAACTTTATGGAGGCATAGATTTCCGAGGCATGCCAAAGTTCATTGTTGTGTTTTCCTCTATAATGCATCTCAGAGTTCATTTATCTAAACTGGGAAAGTATGACTCCAGCTCAAAATTAGATACAGTTGAGCATATAAGATAAAGCTCCAGGAAGTGGAGCAATTGTGAAAATACCTTGTGGCGGTGGATCCAGTAGCAATTATTAGGGATCCATATTTGAGTAACTTTCCTGAATTTGTCGTCAATGTTTGCTTTTCAGTGTCAATCTTTGCCACTGGATCTTCATACAGTGTCTACACAAAGATTAAAAGAGAAAGCTTGAAACCACTGATAATATCAAATTAAGGCTTTACAAAATAGGTTGGTATTTTATAAACAAAACTAATGATGCCCTATAATATATTTTTCTCTGTAGCTTCTACAATCCGAACTCCCAAAAGTTCACTTACCATATGCCAACATAACTTCAATTGCACACACATACCCCAATCATAGGCAGTAAATACAATCAAGTAAGTCAATTGCATTGCTATGTAAAGATGATTTTGAATGTAATAATCATACAGAATGACCATGTAATGTAATCTATCATTCAATTTGTTGACATAATTCCACGAAATTAAGTTAAAATTAAAATTGCTATGGCATTGGAGCATTGACAGAATAGACATTAAAATATCTTGACACCTGTGACTTTCATGAGAGCCAAATATAATATATAAAGGAGTGAAACCACATCACAATCTAATCCTTAGGCAATGACCAACCATGCCATACATATATTATTTAAGGGCGCAAAAGATCAATTAATGTGTAATTTGAGTTGGAATAACAAATTATGAAGGAATTTTTAAAATTACATTAAGCACATGGTGTTTCCAGATGACAAATATTCTTTCTAAACCCACAGAGTTCATTGTCCTTCCTGTTATATCGTTACAATTTTCTTTTTCTTTTTTTCTTTTTCAATTTTATAATGTTTTAACAAGACAGTTTTTGAATTTTCATAAAAAACCTGACATTTATTACATTTTATTATTGAAAATAAACAGAACCACATCTTATTTTATTGCATGTTACACAAACTTCTATTCCTTTATGCCCTTGATTTCAATTTCCTTTTCTACATTCCAAACGTACTCTTATGTCCTGTGATACCACATTTGTTGTGACATTGAAGAATTATAAGTATAAAAATATAAGTGGTCTTTGATACCTCTATTCCTTTCTCTTTGTACCAGTCAGGTGTTTGCCTTTCACCTCCAGAGCCAACACAAGTATGGAAACCCTAAAATAACAAATAGCAATGATCCTTAAAAATCAACACTTAGAAAGGTTAAGTAAGATGCCATGAAAAATGCTTTGAACTGAATGGGGCCTTCAAGAGGAATTCTAGAAATGTCCTGGTGTCTATACATTTCATTACAACAGTCCTTCATAAAATGGAGAACACATTTTCCTTTTTTTTTTTTAGCTTTTTTATGGAGGGAGATATGATTTGGCAACCAGAATATCAAAAGGTAAAAATATGCTCAACAAAATAAATGCAAAATTTTTTTCAACTTGATACATACTCACCGGAAGACGTGCTGGTTTTTTATCCAAAGGAAATAAGTAACCTTTTGTCAATGCTGGACGCTCATAAGGTGCATATGCCTGTACTTGTAAACAAGAAATTAGGACTTCTGGAAATGGAAGAAGACTACTATACCTGATCCATAATTCAGGTAGAAGAGAACATTATAAATTCAACCACTTTTAGCACCAAAATGAAGTCTCTCACCATCTGTGCCTCATTAATAAATCACTAGTATTCATATTTTTTGACAAACTTTCCTGGTTGGATTCATTATCATTTTATAATTTTCATGAAAGCCAGTCACTTGATAATTCTCATCATAACATTATAATAGGTTACTTCAGCATATTGCTCTTGCACATAGTCAATACAAATTAAGTGACTGTATGCAGACATGTAATAGCCATCTTCACTTAGCGTTCATGATTCATCACATATAGAGCCATTCTGTCCAATACAAAATCTATTATTTTCGGTCCTGCAGCTAATGCTAATATGGCAGTTAAGTCTACAAATGTGTAAGCCATGAGAGCACAAATATGATATTTACTAAAAATTCATGAATAAATAAAACAAAAACACGAAGGCTTTTGCACGTATACAACTATCACAAGAAAGTCCAATGCATCTATCATGTTAGACAGTCGAGTGTTTTTATTTGCTGAATTTGTTGAACATTTTCTGCCATTTTCGACCCTATTTAATCATGCCATGTTTCCAATAAACAATAGACCACACTTGATCACCATTATCAGTCTGTCTCTATTTTATTCCATCAATTAAAATCCTAAACACCTGTATTAACTTGAGTTTTCATCTCCATGTCCGCACTACACATTTAGATCCTTCTTCACACCCAAAACCATGATCATATACAAAACTTACTCTTCATTCAAACCATTGAATCCAACCTTATTTTCCATCTAACAAATTCAAATTCAAAACAAACATTTCAATCAGTAACTAAGCAGAAGGGCTACCTCTTTGGAGACAATGCAAAGCTTTCCATCAGCCATTCCGTGATCCACAAAAGTCCGAGCAGCATAACCGGCCGCATTTCCACCTCCTACTATAACAAATCTACAATCACAGAAACCAAATGACGTATTCATACATATAATGAGAAAGAGCAGCAAAAAAAACGCAACAACAGCAATTATTCGAAAACAAAAAGGCATCAAAATGGAGAGAATGATTACTCTCTGTTTTCATTAGCGAAAGAGGCAGCCGAAACAGTAAATCTTCTAGGGAAGCTTGCGGTAGCCATAGGAGAAGACCGAGAGCTTTGATTTCCCGAAGCTATCCGAGGACACCACAGGGAAAGGCCGTGCTTCAGCGAAATCAAATTCGAACTGCTAGCCATTGTTGCTCTACGAACTACAAAATCTCACAAAAATAAATCACTACCAGAAATCGAAAGTAGGAGATGTGAAGAAAATCACTGACTAAGAATGAAAGCAGAAGCGAAATGGCTGAACCTGCACTGGCCATCGTGATGCGGAGTCGTGATGTACTTGTACACCTAGGGTTGATCATCTGATTCAATTAATTAATGCAAAAAAGTGGTGGAACCTTTCCATCGCTCAAGAGACACCAGATTGTGAGCGACTGCAGCAGAATAATGTGAAAGTGACGTCAGCAACGGCGGCTGATTTCGCCGGCGATCTGGCTATTGCAGTTTGGGGTTTCTCCATGGATCAGCCCATATACAGTTTTGGGCTTTTACGAAGATTTGTTTTTTTCTTCAATTTTATTTTTTTAAACATATAATTAGATTTTTATTTTTATATTATATTAAATTAAAATATTACTATATTAATATCTATTTATATCCTATCAAATATTTATTCAAATTAAAAATTTTACTATTCAAATTTTACAGTCAAAACAACACTTATTGTAAATTTACTACGAGTAATTATAAATTATGTTGTTTGAGTAAAATAAATTTTATTATTTTTTAAAATATTCTATATGATAAAATAATATATTACATTTTTATTAAAAATATAAATAATTTATTTTAAAAACAATAGGAAGATATATAAGAGAACAAATAGAGTTTTAAAAAAATTAAAAAAATAAAAAATATGTATTTAGTTATGATTTGAAATTCAAATTAATATTATTCATATAATATTATATTATAATACTATTTAAATTAAAATTCAATGTAACGCCTAATTTTAAATCAACTTCAGATCACAATTAAACAAAGATAATCCGTACATTTCAACTCAATGTACATTTTACATAAGTATTTATTTCCAATAATAGTAAAAATATTTATAAGTATCTATTTCAAATAATAGTAAATATATTTAAATACTAAAACACCTTTATTTTTTGCAAAAATATTTTTATTCTTCATATATTTCTATAAAAAAAAATGTCAAAAATCATCTTATATAAGTCAATTAATCAATGAAATACAACTCAATTCATCCTCGGAATATATGCTCATTTAGGTTGAATTCGAGTTTTAATGAATATAATATTATATTCGTTGATTGTGACATAAAATAAAAATATTTTGGAAAATATATGCATGAATTATTAAAGTGAAAAGATTTTGATAAATTGAATATGTAAATAATTGTGGTATATTTGTGAATAAATGTAATATTGAATAATATAAAAAGAATGTATAAGAATTATTTCCTATAAATAAAAAGTCTATATTTTCATGGATAAACAAAAAAATGAAAAAAAAATGAAAAAAAAAGACATAAATTTAGCTGATGGTGAAAATATTAATTATTTTTTAATCTACTTATATTGAGTTGAGACAAAAAGTATTTACTAATATAATATTTTGTGAGAAAAATAATTATTTTTTATAGGATATTATTATTGTGAAAAAACTATCACTGATTAATAATACTAGAATTTTAAAAATTATATATATATAATTAATTGAATAAAAATTGATATGATTTTTTCAAAGTAAAATTAGTTTTTAATATTATATAAAAAAATTCAAAATGTATATTTAATTTAATATTTTTTGAATTTTTTTTTTAAAAAAACACCATTTTTATTAGTCTCTAATCTTGCTAATATTTCTTTTGCCGGTGATCAGCAGTCTCCCATCATATTTTGTTTTACATTGTGGGTTTGTTTTTTATTTAAAATTCATCCGTCTCAATTCAATGTATTATTTTTTATCATTTTTGTTTGTCTCATTTTAAAGTATTATGTTACTTTTTTAGAAAAAATAATTATATACTAATACTAAAATTCTTTTTAACTTTTATTTAAATTACAAACATACGATTACACGTACAATTACTTTATATATAAAGTTAAAGGCAAAAATGTAAAAAATTCTTACACACTTCAACTAACTAATAAAATACTATTATTTTTTCATTTACTTCAAAACCCCGAAAGGTCCCATTGAAATGGCAGGACGGAGGAGGTACTATACTATTTAATTTACACAGTTTTCAAAATAATTATTAGCACGTATTATATTCTAATGAATTATATTAATATATTTTTAATTATTTATTAATTATATTTCTCCTAAATATTTGTATCTACATTAACACTTATGCTTACACTACAAAAAAAAAAATATCAATTTTGTAATAAAGTTTTTTTTATTTCTAATTTCATTTTTTTTCGTTGCTAATGACATTAGAGACGAAATTAGAGAGGGAATTGCGTTAAAACTACGTGAACTTTAGAGACAGAATTCCGTTACTAATGCGTTAATGGATAGGGCTGGCAAAAACTGACCCGACACGCAACCCGACACAAAATAATTGAGTTTGGGTCAAAGATTTCAACCCGATTATGTATACGGGTTGACACGAACTCGACACGATAGTAAACGGGTCGAGTTAGGGTTGAGGCTCTCAACTCGAACCCAACACGACAACCCAATTAAAATATATTAATATTGATTAATATATTCATTATATATTTAAAATAATCATTTAATAATTTTCTCATAAATTAATTTAAACTAAATTTAATTTTAAATAATTCAACCTAATTTACGCTCAAATCAATAAAAACTAACATAACACGACAACACAACAAAAAATTATTTAATTTAAATCAAGAAATTCGACTTAATTATGTATACGGGTCAACACGAGTCAACCCGAACCCGACACAATAATAAACAAATCGGGTTAGGATTGAATTATTTAACCCATTTAAAATATTCAACCCGACGTGAACCCGTCACAAATTAACACAAATTGACTTATTGCGGGCTCTAATATTGGGTATGGGGAAATATATATATATATATATATTTACATATTGTAGAGATTTGTTGAGTGAATATACGTATGGAAGAGACATGCATGATGTGAGATTGTGTAAGCCTTACAACTATATATATATATACATATATATATATATAGAGAGAGAGAGAGGAAAGAGAGAGAGAGAATTAGTGAATTAAATAATAAATGGCAATTGCTCCACCTTAAAGCTAAGCTTAATGATGATTTGTATAGTAGGGTTTGAAATATATATATATACATATATATATATTGCTAGAGAGAGAGAGAGAAAGAGAGAGAGAGAGAGAGAGGAGAGAGAGCAGCAGTGTCGTTTTTCAGAATGATTTGCATATTACTTCCAAAATCAGCTTCTCACACATTTTCAAATCAGTATGGTGGTGGATCATTTCTTCATCTCCTTTTCACTCTCCTCTCTCTCTCTCTCTCTCTCTCTCTCTATACATACATATATATATACACACTAATATATATATATATACTAGTGGCACAAGAAAAACATGAAGATATACAATTCATGCATGCACATGTATTAATTAAAAAATGATTGCCAAGCCTTGAAACTTAAGTTGTATTGCACTACAAGTATCATTTGTTTTTACTATGCCGACAATACTGTCTTTTTCATAATAATAATAATAATAATATAGTTTCTCTCCGTCTGTATCTAAAGGTTTCATTTATCTTTTGCGTCATTGTATTTAACATTAAAAATATTATTATATTTGTATAATTTTGTGTACAAATGTCCTTATATTATTATTATAAGACACTAATTGAAGTATTTTTGCAATTTTTTCTTAATTCGTACTACGTTTTGATATAATAATTAATATTCAAATATCAACACGTAAAAAGTAAATAAAACCCTCAAAACGGGAGGAATGAAATATTTCTTTTCATCTTGACTCTTTAATAGAAACATTTAGAAATACTTTTATATCTAATTCATAATTGTTCCAAAGATTATTTGGTATCAAAATATATACTTTACATGCTGACATATGCCACTCTCAAAACTAATATACACTAGTTATGTGATTTTTTTTTATTTTATTTTATTTTTTTAAACACACAGTTAAATATATGTAGGCATTAATTACTACTATATCCGTACGCCTCAAAGGGCCAATTTACATTTTTATATCATTGTACTTAATATTCCTTCCGTCCTGTTAGAAGAGTGACGTTTGTTTTTTGCACGTAAATTTTTTAATATTAGTATTATATTGAATTGCAGTAAAAAAGACAAAAATACCCATATTAGTATGGTGTAATATAAAAGTAATGACATTTGTGTAATATATTGTAAGTTGAAAGAGTATTTATTATGTTAAGTAGATAGTGAAATTACTAAATTAGGAAATGATAATCTTGTTTTGGGACGAATGAAAATGGAAATTGATAACCTTTCAATAGAACGGAGAGAGTATTAAAAATATCTTTGTGTTTGTATAATTTGTTTTTTTTTTTACAAATGTCCTTCTATTAGTATTATAAGACACTGATAGAAGTACTTTTTGGCACTTTTTTATTAATTTGTACTAGATTTTGATATAATAAATAAAACCCTTAGAGCGGGACAGAAGTAGTATTAGAGTTAAATTTGTAACATGAATAGTTCATGATAGTAAAGCAATATTCCAATTTCAGAAGACATTTTTAACACTTGCAGATAAATAAATGTAAGATTATTTTTATATATAATTTAGATAAACAATCAAATGATAAGAGATCATTATTTTTTATTATTATTATTATTATTATTATATACATTAGGGTTTTCAATATCATATTATTTAATTGGTATCTAGTTAAGACCAAGTTGATGATGATTGATTAAATAATAATCAATCCTTTGGACGTATATTTAATTTCTATAACAATATTAATTAATATTATGTACGTACGTAGATACGTATCATGATCATTCTAGAATCTTTTTATTTACTCATACATATATTTTTATTAAATTCTAAATCTCAAATATTTCTCTAATTAGAGCTTCCAATTTCACATTTTAAATTATACTAAAGATTATTAGAGGTTTCAATTTCCTAAAATTTATTACATATATACGGGAAAAAATCATTTTTAGTTACAATATAACCAAAATTCATCAATTTTGGTCCCAATATAATCAAAATTCATCATTTTTCGTCTCAATATAACTAAAACTCATCATTCTTGATCCAAATATAAAACTTTTATCAATTTTAGTCCCAATATAACAAAAAAATATAATCAAACTTTATCTTTTTTGGTCCCTCCGTCAACAAACCGATGGAAAATGCTAACGTGGACTTGCAAGATTGTGCAATTTCTTCAAATATAAATATAAGATTTGATTTCTTTTCACATCAGTATTTTCCGTCGGTTTGTTGACGGTGGGACCAAAAAAGATAAAATTT